GTACAAACCATATCTGGCAGGGCCAAGAAATTCCAAGCAAAATGTTTCAATATTTTCCCTGCTAAATTTGAATTGTTAGGACCATATAGCCTCCCAATGGCTGATTTACATGTCCCATTGAAAGCAGAAATGAGCAATATTAGTGTACATGTATGGAACTCTTTGCATCATCGAAGTTCATCAAAGTTCATCAAAGTTCAAGTTCACTTGGTCAGAGTACATTTCAACAACCATTCCAAATAATTTGATCATACTCTCATATTTGGGCATATTTCTTGCTTTTAATTCATTTTTTGGCAGTCGGGTTTGCATAGCAGCTTTCCTCATCTTCCACCTCAATGGCATGGGTTCGAATCCCACCAAGGCCCACAACCTCTGAACATTGAAGATTTATTTTCCTCTTCATTGCCACTCATAGTCATCCTGCAATTAGTGCTGAATGTTCATTGGATGACCGGAAATAAAAGAATAATGATAACTTGATAACTTATTTATTCATAGCAGCCATGTACATGTAATCTTTATTGGGTGATTTTCAGTGGGCCATCATTATCAACTGTAGCCAGTGTACGGACGTGTACATATCATTACATTTTCCAGCCATTTTTTTTGCATTTTTTGGGGGGTGGGGGCTAGTGTGAAGTTTTTAGAGATGGGAAGAAAACTGCAGATAAATAATCACAGAGAAACTCAAGGAATCAAGTAGGGACTAAAAACCCAATCCACACGTCGGCTTGGGCAAGATTTGATTCTGGGTCGCTGAGGTGGAAGGCCAGGAAAGTACATGTATCACTGAGCCAACCTGTCAACCCAAAATGAAATAAACTCATAATGTTATCACAATGCTATACTTCAAAACTGTAATTTGTCATCTCAGTGCTAAAAGGTCCTTATTGAAAAACTGCATTCAGTGGTCCTTATTGAAAGACACCATTTTAACAAGAAATTAGGCAACAAAATTTCTTGAAATTTAAATATGTTGGTCCCAAAAATACTAGTTTAATAAAAGTAAAACAAATGTTATTTGTTTCAATGCAACATTTCCTTCATGCTCAGAGTAAGACCCTAAAAGTATTTTCAAAAATTTCATTTTTGCTGTACTGACCTTTAAGCACTTACCCGACGAATTTGTACCATAAAATAGTCACGGTTTGGATAGACTACTGTCTAGGGTGATAGGAAAGTTTAAAAGTGAGCTGTGTTTTGCACATTTCAAATCTCCCCTTTTCCCATTCAGACAAAATACCAGTTTTGTACCCATCAACACTGTCTAGCTCACCCAGTGGCTGTTCCAAACCTCACTGTGATAAGTTTTTTATCACCCCTTGGAAATAGTTCTATGTGGCTTTGTATATTCCTGGTGTTATCTCAAAAATTCTAAATCAGAAATTTGCTTGGTTTGCAAATTTTTAGCTTGCTGTGGAAACATGCCTTTTCCCTGTGTATTTATCAAATTTTACTATGTATCAGAACCTTTTCAATCATTCTGTTTTTTATGAAATAAATGTTGAAACTAACAGAACTGTTTTCTTTAATTCTATTTGTGAATGTGTAGTACATGTACTTTGCCACTTAGCACATTCCCCCAATCTCAACCATTTTACACTGCCAGAGTTACATCTGTTTC